GCGTGCTGCCTACCTCTTGGATCAGAGGACTCGGCTGCTTACGCTGGCTGGCTAGTGGGAGGGGAGCGGTGGGGTAGGGTGAGGGGTCAACGATTGCGAACGACGGAGACGTATCACAGTCTACGATGTGAACGACGACGGTGATGATGACGAGGTTGATGTTCCCGTTTTAGAGGCAAATCGTACGTGCAGTACTTCAAGGAGATTTCGTCAGCGCGGGAGTTCGTCCTGTCGCCCGACCATTTCTACTACATCCTAGGCTATAATCCGGAAACGAACAGACTGGCGAGCATCCAGGGCGAGATCCGCGTCGGCCAGACGTACCAGGCGCGTTTACCTGATCTGATCGTCGACCCGGCGGCACTTTACGACGAGGAGATGCAGGGCCGGCAACGCGAAACGTTGTTGTGGACGCCGAATTTGATTGCTGACTCCGACCTGATGATGTTCCTCAGAGCGGCTCGGTGAGTCACGGCATTCATCACCTATCAATTCACATTCGTTCGATCGCTGCAATGGCAACTAAATAAACTAAACGTCGCTTTTTCCTTTATTTTCTATAGCAGTATGGCGGCGTTCGCTGGCATGTGCGATGGCGGATCACCAGACGACGGACGCGTCGCGGCGGCCAGGGACCAGACGACTACCAACGCGTTCAACGTCTTGCACGACAGCAACTATGACACCGGCAAGGCTTTACAGCAACTCGTCAAAAACCCGATCCCTCTGTCGGCCAAGAAGAAGTGGACCGAGGAGGAAACAGTGAGTGTTTGTCGATGCCGGTCGATCCGATCGATTGATTTGTCGTCGTTGTCACCGTCATCCTCATCGATGTTGTTGCCACCGTTTTCGTTTCCTCATTTCACTCACCTTCACTCTTTGTTTTATAGAAAAAATTCGTCAAAGGCCTGAAACAGTACGGCAAAAACTTTTACAAGATTCGCAAGGAGTTACTGCCACACAAGGAAACGGTAAGCGTTTACGAAGAGGTTTGTTTTGCTTCAGTCAATCAATCAAGTGCAGCGTGACAGAGTCCATAAGCGGAGTTCCGTTTCGCGACAACCAATGTCTTAACTACCGATTTCTTTGAACCACAAATTTACCAAACCTTGCTTCAAACCTAGTTTCTCAGTCGATAGAACGTTATTCTTCATTCGATGTATAAGCTCCAGTCAGGTCGCTTGCCTTTTTTCCTTCCAAGGTCGATAAGTGAGGAAAGTTCCTACTCTGTGGGAAGGAAACAGTAGATTACACTGCTCATTGCTTGCCACTAGTTGCTGTCAATTTTGCCATATAAACGACATTCTTAGCTGATAACGTCGAAGTAAAGATTAGCGCCCTCACTTCCTGTCAACTTCACCAAAAGAAGAATCGCTCCGCCAAGAAATTGTAATGAAGACCAACACTGCAACGGTTAAAAACTTTTCTTTTCCAGTCTGTTAATTTACTTGAGCAAATATAGCTACTAACAGCACTGAAAGGCTTCATGATTTGCCGTCAAGTGAGGTTTATTAGCTTGAACAACATTTGTTACTATCGCTATAAGCGCTTATTCACCGTACATTGCTCTGCACTATTGTAAAAAAATGCAGTTAATGTATTTAAATTGCATGTGATGTTACAGTTTCTCGACGGTCAGCTACCGCTGTTGGTATTCCGCCGCTCGTTGCGATACGCAAGCATAAATGGATGTCGAAAATAAATAATTACAACGAAATACGTATAGCATACTGAACAGTGAAACATGATCAATTACATACATTCAGATATTGAATTCAGATTTACTATATATTTTACTGTGTTCATACATATGGAGTGTTCCGCAGACGATTAATATTTTTACATAGTGAATACGATGAAATGTGTATTATGTGTGCATGTTAGAATTTTATATTCAGATACACGGCTAATTAATTGTGTGTAAGATATTATGACTATTAGTTATTGCATATGGCGTAAAACCGCAGGACCAAGATTTCGGCTGATATTATCGGCAATTAGCCCCCACAAACCGTATGCAGTTGTACGGTCACACAGGATTGTCAAGATGTCATTACAGTTACTCTTTCTTCTCTTTGTTAGACGTGTACATAAGTTTCTCCTTGAAGAAGAGATATAAACTTTCTCATCTGTATTCATGACGTTTATATCTCAACATCATGGCCACACTTGTGTAAACTTACGATAAAGAGAAAAAACAACTCTCGCTAACATGTTGATCTTGTACTTTTGTATGACCTTAGCGCTACAAGCTGTTTGCAGTTGATAAAGGCAGAGAATATCAGTTGAAACATTGGCCCTGTGGCAGAATTTTTTACGCCTTATTTATTATTGATAAAGTCTTAATGCGTAGCTCATGGATAAATCCACCAAGTCAAGTAAATGTAAGCATACATTTAATTGTGGGGTTCGATTCCGTTCGACGGTAATCTTTATCTTATTCTGAATTCCCTTCAACATGGAGCATATTTTGCACTGCTTCAGATCGGGGTTGCTCAGTTTGTAAAGCGTTAAACTCAGAACCGGTAGGTTTCACGTTCATTCAGCGGTCAAAGTCACTCGCCCTTCCTTCAGAATTTGATAAATCAGTACCACTCGGTAGGAAGGAATCAGGAGACTACGCCTTGCGCTTGCCACATGACTGCGGACTCTGCCTTTAATGATAAGGCACCACTGATAGGTATGTAGCATAGAAATGGACATAAATATCGCACTATAAACTGCACGAAAAGAAACGAGCCAGAAGGACCCATTCATGAAAGTGAAGGAAGACCGGCATTCCAATGATGAAAATCTTTCCTTGCCTAGAGTAAATGGTTAGTGCGCAGTAGTCTGAAAACAAAGAAACATGCAACTTCAATTGGCGGAAAAATGCACAGCAGGTAGTAATATGCACAGGGCACCTTCGTAAATACCGAAATTATATATTGAAAACTTCCAGTGGGTTTTCTAGTATTATACCGAAGCATTTTGTGGTTTCACATAAAGAGACAGAAGAATTGCTGATTTGGCGCTGACGTGGAGACGCTGTTCTTTCGGTTTTCTGTTATACCATAGTTTATGTATGTCGCTCACTACATTTTTCACGCTGCTAAGTGCTAACTATGATGTAAAAAGTCGAGACGCAAATGCACGCTATTTGTTTTGTTGTCAAACTGCCTAGAGTCTGTTTTCTCTTCTCTTCCTGGCGCCTGCCAACCATGGCAAGAAATGGCCAAGACTGACAAAGTTACAGCAATTTCGTGCTATATACGTAGCGTATCGCATGTTCACTAATATGGCTGCATTATGTTGGATTAGGTAGCTGAGATTTAGGCACTTTTCTCTTCGGTTCTCCATACCATGGGAAAAGAGTAGATTTTTAAACAGACAGGGGAATTAAAAATAATCTGCGAGGTGGACTGCGTTGTGACTAAGTTTAAACACTTTTCACGTAGTGTTTTATCTTTCCATCTGCGGTACCACCATAGGGAAAGATGAGGTTGGGATCTTGAATTTTATCCCCCCCCCTCCACCCCTGTTCTTCGCCCAGGTTCCAGTGCACGGCCACATAAATTGCTTAGCTACTCTGTCGGAAGGTTTCACTGCGATTTGGAGAATCCAGCGAATAATCCTGAAGGTAACTAACGGTGCTTAGTTTAGAGGCCTTGATTGGATTCACTTCGATGAAACTCTCTGTCATTTCTCAGTTTTGTCTTATCATACCATGTCTTATTGAACTTGATTTTGAACGACTTACTTCTTACTTGCGACTCTTACTCATTTGTCAGAGGATTTGGTTGTTCTCTCCCGAGCATGCGGAGTGATGATGAGATTTAACGTATTTTTCAAAGTAATACGTGTTTTTTAAAGGAAGTTTTCAAGGGGATCTAGACACTGGCTTTCCATTAAAGTTAATACAAATATTGGTTTATTTAAATATATTTATGTTACATGATTGAATATTTTATAAGTGTGTACTGTTGAGGTCGCATGTGTCTTGTTACAAACCCCTCACCATACTCTTGTAAACTTGGCGTGATACCGAAAACATTCAGTTACACCAGGGAAGGCCATGACCCAGCATAAAGGCGGAGTTCGTTTTCCGAAAGAACGGGAGGACAACTAAACCAGATTTCACCATGCCCTACACATAGGTAGCTCACCAGTTTGTGGTGCAACATCTTTGCGGATCTTGCTCGGGACTTAAAATTTATTTCGCACACCCTAAATCCGAATTAAACTATTTGGATATTTAAGAAAAATATCCATTTAAATAAATTAGGGTTGTAAACTAGTAATCGATTTCAGTACCTAAATCATATTGTAAACTACGTACAGTTTTGAAAAGTATTACGCGCGTCAAAAATTGCTTCTTTCACATATGTCGTCATTGGTACATGTGATGGCTTTCTTTTTCTACATTCCTCCCTTCTCGGTTCATCTTCGAAGTGTCCTTCTGATAGGCAGATTGATTTGAAATATAAAATGAATTGTCAGTTCCTGCCTATTATCATATTTAACGAAAATTTCATTGACCCTGTCTTTTCGCACATCCTTTGTTTTGATCATTCTTGCTTCCTCGGCGAAGTGAATTGAGGTTCGCTTCGTAGAGAGCGAGGAACCGAAACAAGCTTGCTTCTCAACAGTTGAAACCGTCGCTGATGTGTGAATGACACTAGTGGTTTCCAGTGGTCCAAAATTTTCTGTTTCTTTGCTTCCTCTTAAAGTTAGCCGAAGTAGATACATGCTTCTCCTTTCTCTTTCTTTCTTTGCGGTCCTTTTCCTCACCCACAACTTTATGCATCTTCATATTGATCCTCATTGCGGTGATGGTAGAGCTGACCTGTTGCATATCACTGTACTTCTGTGATTCGCCGCTGCGAACACCGTCAAATATTTATCGGTGCTGTACAAAGTGGTCGGTATTTTCATGACAAAGTATTGCAACAGCCTACGGTTTTTATCCTACTGTTTATCAACGTTGTTTTTCCTGGCGATCGACCGTTTCGCTCGGTTCGACCCGATTGATGGCGGTCGACGGTAGCTGCTTTACAGCAGCCCATGGACGACGAGAAAAAAACATGTTTCCCTTTTAAGTCCTGAGTTATTGGAGTAATTAGTATGATAACACCTTCTCACTATTTTCTTTCATAGTTAAATGTACGCCTAATTCAGACTTTCGATTAGGAATCATTGGCCTATATATTTGACTGACTTTAATTCTTTACAGGACGAGATTAACTGGCTAATGCGGATATGCATAAATAAATAAAAAAGTCGTTCAAAGCCTGGACAAAATTACGATGAAGCTTCTATACGGAAAACAGTATTCTTTTCTGAACATCCGGCAGTAATGTTTACTGAAGATACCATCGCCAGTATCAGCAAGTGGTATTGGCATTAAAGCTAAAGCGATATAGGGAAATGCTACGTGGAAAAAGTAAAATGCGTAAACGAAGATAAAAACAAGATTCTGCAGATGGGAGGGGGCAAAAATGAAAGACATCAAAGAGAAGAAGATAAAGCGAAAGCGGATAATACTAAGATAGTTGACTATATCAGTTCCGTGAAAATGGTTGATTCATATGCCATGATGGACTCCGGCAGGAACGTTGTCGCCACCTGAGACCTCGTTGCTGCTAGCGATTCTGTATGATTTTGATCTTGCTCTTCCACAGATATGTAATATTCACAGTTGCCCAATTGCACAGCGCATTTCCATGCTTATCTACTTAATTATTGTAGCGGTTGTAGTATTACGTCGCGGAAATCCCGAATGCTACTTCATCTTGGAAAAACTAAGGGGAGAGAAAAGTTTTTTGCCATTGGAATGTTGGTATTCCTTCGCTTTTATTATTGGGCCTTTTTGACGTCCTTCTTTTCATGAAGCTTGTGGTGGGGTGCGGTGTTAATATCTTGTTCTATGCCAT